ATATATGGGGGACCGTATGGATTGTTGATGGGTCCTTAATAAACAAGTTCAGTTTTCGAGAGGTTTAAATTCAGTGTCAAATCTTGTTGAAACATCTGAGATAAATGAATTTACACACAAAGTGATGGACATTCTTTCTTGAACAGATGAGAATGGGTACGACAGCTATGGCATAGGCGGAGACCTGCTAAAGTAATTTAATTTCTTATTCCCTTTTTGTTTTGAAGGAGTGTCATTATTAAAAATACTTTTAATTTTGTGAAGGTTTGGATAATTATACCATGTAGCGTTCCAATTTCTGGTTCTGTTTTCGAAAATAATATTGAATTTCTCACATCAGACTAGTATCTAATGTACGTTTTATAAAAGTCATTTTATGAGAAATCCGACCATGCGCAACTGGCTGTAATATTAATTAACAGGTGTATGTTAGTGACGCGACATCGATAACAAAACATCGACGTTAGCAAACATCAATGTTCAAAATTAAAACACTGATGTTTTGTTTAATTTACATCGACAAAAACCCATCGAAATTTTAGACTGGATTCGTGTGCATTAAAATTTAATTTGACAGTGTTAATCTTTGACTATACGCGGAATAAGGGTGCGAGAAGAAGGGCAGACCCAAAGAGCATAGCAAATTTGTTCACTATATTTCAATGAGCGATATGAACATGAAGAAAGAGGGAACACAAGCTCATCTCGGGGGAAAGAGATTTCCATCGATAAAGGTAGTGCAAACATCGTTCCTCGGGTTCGAACACACATGAATAACCGTGTTACTATCAGTTATTATTTCATATTTTAATTTTACACCCTACTCATGACTTTTTTTTCATTTCGAAACAAAACATAGGAAAATAAAAAAAAGTCTATGACAAAACTTCGATGTCAAAAAAACATCGATGTTAATACATTGATGTTTAAAACTTCGATGTTTTATAATACCATTGATGTTTTGAAACATTGACATTCATGTCGTATCCCTAGTGTGTGTGTGTGTGTGGGACCACGAAGTCCCAGGCAGAGGGTTTCTTGAAGCTTCCCGGTGCGAGAGGAGAGCCAACGCTATTCCGAGACCGCCCACGCCCACGCCCTCGCCCTCGCCCCAGTCTCCACACTCGACCTCGAACCCGAGCGCTTCGATCCACGCGCGCCGCCCAAAATGCAGCCCCCCTCCCCCCTCTCCAATGAGCCAAGTTAAACTTAACGCGCCTTCACATTCTTGGCATGCCTCACCATTCATTTCGATTAACTCCAACGAATTAGCGGCCTCGTGGATTACCCAGGACAGAGCTCTGGAGCCCCAGAGCTCGCTGCTTAAATTTTCACTCGACTAACATTTTCTTCTGGTTTCGTAACTTAATAAATTGATATAAAATAACAATCCAGTACTTCACCTAAACTAAAATTACTCATATTTTGGTTCTGTTTATGAAGATAATATTGAATTTCTCACAACGGATTAGTACTTAATGACAAAACCTATTTCATTTTTTATATCAAACAAAGGCTTATGTGTCATCATTATATATTAATGTAGTTAACTGTATTGTATTAAAACTTCAAATACTACCAATATATCTACAATCAATTTTAAATGTGAATAGACTTTTTTATCCACACTTCATATACGCTTTAGTAATTCAAATTATAACGAACAATTGTGATAAATTGCATTACACTTTCATCATAATCAGTGACAAAAATGTACCTCTCTAAAAAAATTAAACTTGTGAAAAAAACAATCATTGGTCACCAGGCACACTCAATTACCCTAACTCCTCCATTGGTAATGCTAGCGATAATGCGGAAGTCCACATGCATTCCGAGTTTTTAACAAATAGTCACTAGTAATCCTTGTTAGCACAGCAACACTGTATTGTCTCCGCTAACTTCTCTGTCCCTTATCGCTTCCATCAAACCCGTATCCCCATTACTTCCTTTGAGGTCGACTTGATAACGTCGAATGGCGCACTAATCCACACTCCGCCATTGGCTGAAGCGCCAACAGTATAGTTCTAAGCATCGAAGTTTTACTTAGGCCTCCCACGGCATTACCATACAGGATTACTAATGCTGAAGAGCTGAAGCTGAATTGAAAGATCTCCTTAATGAGCAGCAAACGTCGAATCAAATAGTAAACATGAATCACATCATCTTGAGAAAACAAATATAGGATGTCACGATGTTTATATGGAATGTCCAGCAATATCTTTGGAGGACGACTCAAAACGAAGAATGCCACCAGGAACAAAGCTGCCCAGTGAGGCGAAGGTCTGTCCCGGGGCCAACTCCAACAATGGACTGTCAAGCTCTGCGCTGCAGGTCCGATGACATTTCGTGCGAGGGCCACGGGTAGCGTAACGCAATTGCCCTTGCGCGTAGCTGGGAGATGATCAAGTTTAAGAAACTCATTAAATACGAATCACCTGTTGTTTGCAAAACACATTTAAGTAAACGCGATACTGCTAAGTCATTTATCCTCATCTCTTAAGAAGGCAACTAAAGAAACAACAGTCGTCAAAACCAAAGTTGCATCGTGGGATGAAGGACTAGTTAGCCAAATTTAAAATCTGACTAAAGAAGATCCCGTTGTCGTACTTAGTCATTCACGCAAGGCATGTGAGAGACCTATGCAAATATCAGACAACGCGTACAGGACCACCTACATTTACTACAAATACTTATTGTTGACAACACAATACTGTCTCACGATATGAGGCCCTTGGGGTTAAATAGTGGTTACTTTCACAGGACAGTCATTTGAAAGTTTCATGAATTTTGTAAACCAGGTGATCATCTGGCACATTCTAACATATTCTAACATCAACTAACATATTTATTAAATTGAAATATTCTGCATTCATAATTGGTTTGTAATACATTATTTTACCAGAAGCTTGCTAACTTCTAGCAGAAAGGAAAAAGGTATCTCAATATTTCTTCTCAATATATTCTTCATATTCTTATCCCTTTGAGTTTTGACATCAAAACGTCGGCGCGTGGACCTTGTGCACTGCGGGCGATGGTCCGGCTGAAGGCCCAACAAGCGTTGCCAGACGATTAAATGTACCACCAACCTTCAAACATCCTAGTACGTTAACTCAAATTCCTGGTACCAATGCCAATTGATTTAAATTCTGAAATCGTTCATTTTATAACTTATTTTTTTAACACGCATGGAATTACGTTAACCTTAACGTTACATCATTTTCTAATACAGCATGTGCTATAAAAAGGGCATCGTATATCACCGTAATGTTTTTACGACACTTATCAGAGTTATTTTTAACGATGGTGTATTTTCAATTCAGAATAAAAAAATATTAAACGAATCTTAAATTGTACGTCATCAATTACTGTAGATTCAAAATCCTGGTATTTCAACTTATCAGGATATCTTCATCCTATTAGATGGTGTAGTCATTAAAGTCATTGGTAAAAATACCAGGATCGTGGTACGTCTGGCAACACTGGGCCCAACAACACACTGCCTGCGCTCGGGAATGAGGCACATTTACACGTAGGTACAGAAACATCAAGTTCTTCGTACAGCCTTACTCACGCGCGCAAGCGCAGTGCGCGAGATTATTCATTTTTATTGTTAGTGATCAACACGATGTTGCTAACTTCATTGCGACTTATCCTACTCATTCCTTAGGGAAGTGATTCAAAACGACAAAGCCATTTGAAACAAATCCGGGACTTGGGAACAGGAACTGTCCGCAATAAACGAAGTACACGGTAGCTGCCCATCACATGTTTGACACCGTCTCACGTCTTACACAAGAGAAGCCGTACTAATGTATGTGTCTGGGCGACCCCTCGAATCACACATTCAACTTCGTTCACGTATTATTGGAGGTAACAAACATGTGAAATTCGTTGTCCCTTATCTTACGTATTCCTTCATAAGGCGACTCCAAAACGGACAACTGCGCCTGCACCAAATCTGGGCCATGGGAGTCGGAAACCGTAAACAGTTGACAACGTAACGATAAACAACCAGGTGTTCGAAGCCGCATACTCAGGGCAGGGAAGCGAGAGAATGCATGTACGCGCAGCGCATGAATAACTATCAATATTAAGCTTACGATTGAACCACAGTGTTGACACAATATTGTATATACGACACTGCAGTAATATTTGAGCCCTTCACAGAAACCCTTCAAAAAATTAATGGTGCCCGGAACAAAATCTGGGTCGCGGCCCCCAGCACTCGCTTCCACCCTTAAACACTATATCTAAAGACTAGCCCACAGGCGTCGTCTAGCGAATTTCTATATCCCATTAAAGGTACTGTCCTGCAATCCACAAGAATTTTCTAGCTAATGCAGACAAACCTGGACAGCGGCGTTCATTCACCCGCAAACAATATCTACCGACAGGTTTTCTCTCAAACGACCGATATCTTATTTTGTATGCAAGCGGAGCAAAGGGCAACGTTAGTCACCCGTGCGATTGAGCGATCTCCCTCGCGTTCAATCACATCGTAAACAACCTTCAGGTTATTGCCCGTGGTGATAAACAAGATAACGTGAACTGCTCTGCCCCTTACCTTCACGGTTCCTTCAGAAGGCGATTTCAAAACAACAGTGGCACCCGAACCAAGCGTGAGCCGTGGGCGTCAGCACTCGCTCCAACCGGAAACTAGACACTATCTAACGACTAGCCTAGAGGCATCCTTCTAACTCCTCCAGTAGGGCGATGGCAAAACAACAATGGCGCCCGAAATAAATCTGGACCGTGGGCACAGGCACTCGTTCCGACCGCACATAAAACACAAACTAACGACTAGACCGTACGCGGCCTTCTAACTCAACTTTCCTGTAGGTCACAAAACAACAATGGCGTCCGAACCCAGCCCGGGGCAGCGGCACCGGGCGGGGGAGCGCCCGGTCTCGCGCCAACAATGCCCCAGCCAACAATGCGCCGACGGGCGTCGTACGCGGCAAGCGCATACGGAGAGTACAGTGGAGAGAGGCGGTACTCACGCGTGCGGCTGGGCGATGTCCTGCAGGCGCAGCGCGTACGGCACGTCGTAGGGCGTGGTGCCCGAGTCGAGGCGCCGGCGATCGATCAGCTGGGCCACGACGTGCTGCCGGTGGCGCAGCCAGCGCCGCTCCGCCGCCCACGCGCGGAACACGGCGCGCGTGTCCGGGATGGAGCGGTTCAGGTAGAGGCGCACGCGCTCCCACACGTTGGCCACGTTGTTCTGCTCCAGCCAGTAGCGCGGCAGCAGCATGCACTCGACGGGCGTCAGCGCCGTCACGCGCCGCTGCTCCATGCTCTCGCCTAAAGGCACGGCCCTTCGGGGCGTGAAACGGCGGGACGGGACGGGACGGGACGGGAAGGCATGGGAAATGAAATGACCCTGTGTCTGCCCCCGTCGTACCCTCCTTCATTCAAACTTTCCCTCTCATTCACCCTGGGGCCGTACGTAAGCGGCAGGTCTGGGGAGCGAGCGGTTGGCAACACTGGCTAAACAAAACAGCATCGTTTCTTATACGATTTCATTAAAGCGAAACTTTTGAGCGGCCGATTTGAGTGTCAAAGAGATTGGCTTCGTATTCCGATACTTTGTTTAGTTTTCTTTCATCTGTGTGGAGGGAGGTTAAAAGTCAGTGATTGGGTCACGGCTTCTGCAGATATTATAGAGCCGCGCGTTACGTGCCACTACTCTATGTTCTCGCCGAAAGGCCGCTTGCGTTCAGGTTCTCATACAGTTTCCGTACAGAAAAATTTAGGATCACAAGCTAGAAGTAAAAACGCCAAAAGTAGCGAATACACAGCCTGTACGTTTTCTGTAGGAATTCTGTATGAAACACCTCAAGACGTTACTAGGGGGTCGCCTGAAATAAAAGCTAAATTACGTCATGCGAGTACTTTCAGTTGTGATATTTCTGTGCCTGCGTTAGGCTGATTGATCTTAATTAACAATGAGGAGCGTAGAGAAGAGAAATAGGAAGGCAGGAATAGGGAAAAGGCTAGTTTATCATAATATCACTTCACACAATCGCTCCAAAACACAACATATCACAAACTTAAAATGGCAGATTTCCGTTGCGTCAGGTAAACAAATTCGTTAGTACACATTCTGCCGCTAGAAGCACTTGAGTTAAATTGTAAGCTTTCTGCATGGACAATTACGATTATGTTCACATTTTTTCATGCAAAAATTGTGCAGTTTTGATTGCACGTTTCCTGTACGTCCCATCTGCACGAGAACTTCCTGGATACCGGCCTTGAGGACAGCCGTTCGCTACGAGGGGGGAGTTCCAAGAGACAGGACAAGAAATGTCCTGAGCAGAGAGAAATGACCCTGTCTGCCCCAGCCGTACTCTCCTTCGCTCCAAATTTCCTCTCATTAACCCTCCGCCTGCTGATTTCCGTACGTAGCGACAGGTCTAGGAAGCGAACGGTTGGCAACACTGTCTAAATAGAGAAGCATCGTTCCTTATATAATTTCATTAAAACGAAACTTTTTCGAGACTAAAAACGAGGTCAATTTAAGGGTCAAAGAGGTTTCCTTCGTATCCCGATACTTTGTTTTGTTTTCTTCGGTCTGTAAAAAGGGAGGTTAAAAAATGGTGGTTGAGTCATGGCCTGCTGCAGACATTACATAGCCAGCAGCAGGTTCTTCCATTAAGAGAATGAGAAAGGTTGAAAGTGTCCTATACTTAAGATAAGTCGGTACCGTGGCGAATTAAACAGGAATAAATAGTGCAGAGTAGTGTTGTGTCGTGTGCTTTTGTAAATGAATGTGTTGTATATATAATTTAAGAATGAATGCGAAAGGGACTGATAAGCACTAAAAATAAGAAGGAAAAAGAACAAATAAATGTACTCTACATATTCTACGTTCCTCTTTCTGAACCAATAAGAGCCCAAAGAGGCCTGTACATATTAGTTTTAAGTTAGAATAGGTTAGTAGTTTAAGATAAAGTCCTCCCCAAACTTCAGAAGCCTATTCGACTAAACCAAAATGTACACCCAAACAATGAATAAATTCCCACCTCTCCAGGGAAACTGCAGAGGGAAAAGTGACAACAAAATGTGTCCTGTATTGTCTACAGAGTATCTGCTGAGTTACGTGCACAGGTGGGGAACGTAGCGCGGAAGCCCTATTGTTCAGCGTCCCCCACTCCCTTCTTACGCTTGCCCCCCCCTCCCATCCTGAACCCGCTCCCTTCACCGTGGACACGCACCGGGCAACACTCCCTCAGCGACGTCGTATCGTTCTTCATTCTTCAGTAACACGACCTTTTAAATGGCCAATTCGAGTTTAAAAAGGAATCGAACATTTTTTTGGTTTAATTACCCCAACATGAAGAAATGACGCAGAAATGTGGTAGTGATTGAGTGATTGTTTAGAGTTTTCGGGCACGTCAACTACTGGGGTAATTATTCCCGTAAGTCTAGTAATATTTTATCGTGGGAAGTGACGATGTACTCCTCCGCTGGATGCCGAGATCCGGCGCCGACGTACCCGTAGGCTTTCGACGTAACCGTAGGCGTTTCCCCCACCAGGGAGCACCGCCGAGACAAGCTCCAAGCTCCCCACTCGGTCTCCTGACATTTGTGGAAGTGTAGTATGTCAGTGTATGTTACGAAGAGGTGAGGATAGGCAAACAGGAAGGTTAGATCGCGCGGTCCGTAGCCTGTTTGTTAGGGTACTGCTCTGGCATTCACCGGTTGATCGGAGAAACCACGGAAAACTGCCGATCAGAGCAGCCGGCCGCTAGGATTCTCCTCCAGACAGGACCTGAATTCGACCTCGTTAACTCGCTAGTGTCGAAAATCACGCCACGGTCGAGAGTGGAAACTTTGGACCTCCCGGTCAGAGGTACAGCAGCGCCCTGAGCCACCTATCTAGAACCTTTCTTTAAAATAAGGACTGTCGATAGGTGTGGCTTGCTGTCATAGGCCTCTCGTTTTCTGTGGGCGCCGTTAGCATCTAACGTGCCCGGAAAGTCTAAATCAGGGGTGTCCAACTTGCAAGGCTTCGAGGGCCTCAACTAAAACATTGCATGTGGTTGCGGGCCATATTTACATTATTTGGCCGATCTAAACATGACCTCTTATTGTTGATCTCGGTAGTTTGCCCGTCTCTTCAGAAATAGAAAGGGGGTATGGAACCATGCGTCTTATCAGGCTGTACCATGCATAGCGCAATGAAACATTATTAAAAATATCTTAAATTTTAACTGATCCTATATTTACATTAAGGGAATGTTGACCCCGACAGGGTCGCGTACTAGGCGCTTAATGTGCATGCAAGGAACCTACAAGCTTGTCTAATAACCTCTCGCGGGCCACAACCAATGGGG